CTGGAGGAGGAACGAAAGACGGTTATGCGATTGAAGAGTGCGATCGAGGACCTGAAAAAGGACCAAACGCGTCATTCGGAGGTTTTTCGAGAGAACAGGAACCTGAAGGAGGAGGTGGAAGCGAACGCAAGGAAGATCGAAAGTATCGACGACGAACTTCGCGCGTCAAAACGGACGCTCGGCGACAGAGACAGAGTGATTTCGGACAAAGATCGAGCGACGTCCAACCTGAAGAAGGAAATCGCCACTCTCAGAGACGAACTTCGTGCCGAAAAGGACAAGGTGGCAATAGCCGTGATGATGCGCAGCGACGACGACGCCCAAAGTCCAGTGACGCTCGAGAAAATAAAAGACGAATTGCGACTGGCGAACCGGGAAGCGGGTGGCTGCAAAAGACCTCCAACGAAGGTCGGCAACAGAGCTGGAAGAGACCGAGAAGCAGGTGGAGAGTCTGAAGGAACTGTTGGATGACAAAGGTCGCTCGACTGCCAACGCGAACAAAGAGATCGCCTCCCCCAGAGACGAACTTCGTGCTGAAAGGTAAAAGGTGGCAACGGCTTCCAAGGAACGCTGCGACGGCGACGCCCGACGTTCGGCGATTCTTGAAAAGATCAAAGAGGATCTACTATTGGCGACTCGCGAAGTGGAGACTGCCAAAGACAGGGAACGAAGGTTCGCGAAGAAGTTGGAAGAGAGCGAGAGGGAGGTCGAGAGTCTGAAGGAGTGGTTGGACGTAACGGAGAAGAATCACGAAGCGAACCTTCGCGAGTTTCGTTCTTCCGCCGAGTCCGACAAGGCGAAGGCGATCTCAGATCTGGAAACGGCCAAGGCCGATCACTCCGACAGGACCGATATTCTCCGGACGGAGATTGCCGAGTGTTAAGAAAAAGCTGGCCGAGGCCACCCGAAAGGAGTCTTCGCTGATCACGGATGTCGAGAAATTAACCGCCCTGAAAGATGATAACGAAAAGGAGAGTAGGAGGATGGAAAAGCAGCTTTCCGATAAAGATCGCACGGCTATCGACTTGCGGAACGAGATCGACACCCTGGAAGAGAAAATCAAACGGAACGGAAGTGAGATTGACGATCAAATAACGGCCTACAAAGAAGAGATTGAAAGAAACGTGAAGATGATGAAAGAGTTGGACGCTACGATCGCGAAAAAGATTCGAGAGGCGGCCGGTCTCGAAGACGAGATCGCCGTCTTCAAAGAAGGGAAGGAACGTGACGGACGGAAGATAAAAGGATTGGGGGTGCATCTCGCTAACAAGGGACGCGAGGCGACCGCTCTCAAAGACGATATAGCCGCATTGCAAACGGACCTCTCGAGAGCGCGCGAAGAATGCGCGGACGACCGGAGTACCGAACTTTTCGTCATTCTAGAAAAGACGAAAGACGAACTGCGCCGGACGTCCAGCGATCTGGCGGCCGCAAAGGAAGCCGAGATCAGGCTGAAGGCGAACCACGAAAACATCGAGAAGGATATCCCGCAGTGAAAGCAATGGGTCGAAGAATTGAAAAAGGCACGAGACGAATCTCACGAATCCCACGCCAAGGAACTCGGATCGCTTCGAGACGATCTTTAGAGGGAGAAATCGGACGCTGAAACGAAACTTGCAACGGCGAAGGCGAGGCACTCGGACGATATCGAAAATCTTCGAACGCAGATATCTTTCCTTAAAGAAAAGGAATCAAAACTGAGAAGAGACACTGGTAAGTTGCATGCGGCCCTAAAGGAACGGGAAGAGAATTATCTCGATCGAATAGCTAAACTGGAATCCGATAAGATTTCGCGATCGGCCAAAGCGGAAGAGGCTCTTGACGAGTGCGCGTCCCTCTCGAAGAAACTGAAGCTCGCGACCGATTCCAAACGTCGGTCGAAGGTGGCAAGCCGAGAAGAGGTCGTGGCAAGCGACGGCCGAACGACGTTCGGCAGATCTCGACAAGCTTCGCGACCTGCTGAATACGTCCGAGAGAGAACACGCAAATCTTGAGTCCCAACTTTCGAACGTTGACAAGAATCTAACGGATTCGAAAGAAACGGATTCGTTGAAGCGGGAGCTGGAAAGACATCGACAGGAGATCCGACAACTCGAACGACTTCTGAGCGACGTTAAGAGGGAGAAGTCGGGTGAATCCAACGAAAGAATGATTTCGGAACTAAGTAAAGAACTCAAAAAAGTCATCGACGCGCGCGATAGACAGGTGAAAGAGAACACCGAAATGGAAAAGAGGCTATCGGAATCGGAAAAAAGTCTGTCGAATTTGTACGACGAATCGATGAAAAAGGTTGTCCACCTCGAAGAATCGGTGTTTTCGAAGAACAAGGAAGCTGACGAATTGAGAGTAGATTTGACGAAAACGAAGATAGGGATGGACGAGATCAAAAGACAACTCAACTTTGCCAATAACAAAGTGGCGGAGGCGTATTCCGAAGTGACTCGAATCGTCGAGAACTCGGAAGACGGACGATCGCACGAGGAATGTCGAGAACTTCTCACACGACGCCTCGATGAAGTGAAACGTTCGTTGGAAAAGGAAAAGATGAAGACGGCCGATTGTGCGCAAATGATCAAAGAATTAATGCGACAGATATCCTATCTGACGAACGAAATAGAAACAGTAAATTACGGCCGAAGTGTCGAGGTACGACATGAGATCGGCGAACAGGAGGGCGAGACGCGCCGACATCTGCGACACGACCAGGTTTTGGATCCTGTAGTCGAGTCCGATCATGACGGTCACGCGAACTAGCACCTCGGTCGCGAACAGCAGCTTGCCCTGTCCGTCGTAATATCGGTTCAGAAATAGGCCGATGGTTATTCTTAGATTGCAGTAGAAGGTTATCGCAAAAAGTAAAAGATTCGCAGAAAGCAGATCCCGATACTTTCTTATCTGTTTGTCGTACGTATCCCCCGCCAGTCGTACCGGTCGAACAGACCGTGGAGAACGAACAGGAAGATTAGGATCGCCGCGATGAGCGGAGCGAACTTCTTCATCCTTTAACGAATGCTTACAAAAACCAACACCCGAGAGTTCGATCGATCATACGCAAACATGTTCGGGAAAAAAAGAGACGATCGTTTCGAGTACAAGAGAGTGGAATCGATGCGCAACGTGGCTTCCATGGAACAGAGGTTCGAGGAGAAGGCCGCGGCCGCTCGACGGAGCGTGGAAGCCGGGGTGAAGAACGGTGCCGGACCCCGAAAGTTGGCGTCACTCATCAGACGCGCGTCGGATTACGAGCGTCTGCAATCGTCTTCTCAGAAGGCAATTTACGATCTAGAGAAGGACGCCCTGTCTTCGGAAATGCGGAAGATAGACGGTCTGCAGTACGAACGGTTGAAACGAGAAGTTCACGAACTCGGCAAATTCGAGAGGCTCACCAATCCCCGCAAACTATGCAGACGTATAGCGGCAGTGAAGGTCAGAAGGGACCGTCGCAAAGTGGGAGTGGAATCCATAAGGGATTTGCTTGACTCGGAATCGGACGACGGAAACGGTGACGACGACGAACACTCGCCCGAGATGCAACTCGCCAAAGACCTCATCGACGACGACGTCTGGCAAAAGGTGACCGAACTGCCGGAACCGTGTACAAGAAAAAAAGACGATCACTTTTCTTTGCAATAATGAAAATTGTTAAGAAAAGAGAGAAATAAAAGAACGAGAAAAAAAAACTTTTGTGTTTTCAATTCATTATTTTATTTTTATTGATCATCAGCAAGTTCGCACGAGGCGCAAGCATCGCGCGAGGTGATGGCGCCGCATTTGCAAGAACGCATCATCGCCAAGTCGGGTTGCTTGAATTTCAGCCGTACTCCGGCACCGTCGAGGGCCAAGGTCGCCAACCTTCTCGAGTGGCAGTTGTAGCACGCAGGCTCCAGCGTGTTCTCGTCGATGTACATACCTTTTGTCGGAGGGCGGTTCTTGAGGTCGACGTATGTGAGAACTATGTAGCAGTATCTGCATATGACGATGGACTCGGAACCGCTCCCAGGTTCGCACGTCTGATCGTACGCGTACTGCACCTGGGCGCATCTTCTCTGCACGAACAGAACGCCCTTAAATTCCGACGCCTTCTCCTCGCTCAAAAGGGAAAGGGCATTGGTCACTCGGGACGGTAGAAACCTGCGTTCGCGAACGTCGTTCAGCATTAGGACGCACGCGACAAGACCGGCTGATCTGTCAGGCAGGACGAACAAGAGGTTGAACGGCCAGTTGGTTCGCGTGAACTCCAACACCCTATTAAGCATCGAATGTAACGATTTGGTCTTGACGCTGTTCAGATGCGCCAGTACCACTCTGATGATGGCCGACTCGTGCACCCTGTTTGTCTTCGGGACGACGTGGTTGGAAGTTTTTCGTTCGTCCCGATCGGATCTCAGCCATCTGCGAATCTCGTCCAGGTTGGCAACGTCCGCCGCGATTTTCCTGTGGTGCGGAAGGAGGAGGGTGTCGTAGAAGTACCGGACGAACGCCTTCTTGCGCCAATCGTCGGTTTCCTTCTCCCTTTCCTCGTCGTCGTCGTCTTTGACTTCGTCGGCAAGAAACCCTCCGAGCGCGACGGCCGCTTCGAACTGCATTTTCTCTTCCTCGCTGCACCTCGCCCACTTGGTCATGTGCGAACTCTTGGAAGTCGTGCCCAAACACGAGCTGACGAGTTTGACTAGTCTCGAACGATCGTCGCCTTCGCTGTGCGCCTTGAACATGTACGCGAGACCTGCTACAAAAGCCGGGAACGCCGTTTCGCGCGACATGGTCGGGAATGGTTGCCAAAAGATATGTACGCACGCTCAGAAAACAAATATGAAATCACTCACGTTCGCAGTGTTGGGTTTGCTCCTGAAGTTTGTGGTTGCGCCAGATCTCTGCATCACCTTTACGCCGTCCGGGACGCCCTGGAACGAGATTCCGTACCTCCGCCGGCCCATCTCCAGCAGCTTGATGATGTCCTCCCGATTGGTGCGAGCGCAGTTTAGATCCTGCGCCCAGTTGACAACGGATATGCCTGATTCGTGCACCAGGAGCGCCGCAACGAACAGCTGACCGGCTCTGTTCTTGCCACTTCGCCGGGGAACCCGAACAACTGTAAACTTCCTGTCGTATTCTTCCAGCTTCCTGACGGCCGCCTGGCGCACGGCGGGATGCCACCTGGCGGGTTCCGTCAGCGACTCGGCCTCCTCCTCGGAGAGGACGCCGAGGATGCGGAGCGCCGGAATTCGAAGCTCGGAAGCTCGGTCGCCTAACACCTTGTTGAACCTTCCGGCCATGACCGCGTTGCACATATCCCGCTGGAATGGCTCCAGACGAATGTTGCATTCCTTGCATAAGAATTCCAGAGTGGACTTGACGTTCCGAACGTGTTTAACGCTTTCTCTTCCGCGCCGACGGTCTGGCCTAAATCAACGCATGCGGAGAGCGGCTTCAAAACTCTCAGCCTGGCTTCTCTGAGCATCCTCTCATCGATC